ATGAAGCCGGCGGGGAAGTTTCTTAGCAGAGCTGGCGCCGTTCGACCCAGACTGGTGCATCATCTTTTTTTTTTTTTAGCTGTTTCTTTCTAAACACAATCATCCTTCCAGTCACCCAGGCTTAAAATCTTCACATTATTTTTGACACTTTCTTCACTTTTGCCTCAACAAATAACCAGCTGCCCAATTTTCTTGACTCAGCATGTTCTTTCCTCTGTTCTCATGAATGCCTGATTCCCGTTCTCACTACAGTAGTTCCAGCCTTCTTTACCGTTCTCCGACAGCTGTATTTTTTCTGCCATTCAGCACATATTCAGGAGCTCTTGCTGTGTGCCTGGGGAATCAGTTAGTTAGGGCCAGTAGTGTAGAATTGAACACAGTAAGCATGGTCGTTTGCCAGGCCTCCAAATGTAACGCATGGCTAAGGATCCTGGGCCACGATCAAGTAGGGACGGTATGCGAAGCCACAGGGGAGGCTTCCCCTTCCTAGAGGAAGAGAGGTTTAGACTGAAGCCCGAAAGGTGAATGGGAGTAAGCCAGGTACAGGTGAGACAGTTGGGTTGTGTAAGGAACAGCTAGTCAGGAGGGACAGCATATGTAAGGTCGGAAGGTTTGGGTAGGTGGAAAGTACTGATGTAATAGAAGTAAGCTGGCATCTTATCATCCTGAATAATTTAGGCTTTGGGGGGCCTGGGTAGCTCAGTTGGTTAAGCATCTGACTCTAGATTTTGGTTCAGGTCGTGATCTCCAGGCCATGAGATCAAACCCCAAGTTGGGTTCTGCACTCAGTGTAGAGTCGGCTTGGGATTCTGTCTCCCTACTCCCTGTTCCTCCCCCTGTGCCCACACATGGGTGCTCTTTCTCTCCATCTCTCTCAAATGAATAAGTAAAATCTTCTTAAAAAAATACCAATTTAGGCTTTTTCATAAGAACCCTGGGAGCCACTGAAAAGTTCTACACGGGAGAGTTAAGGAAGCAGAAGCATTTGGGGACGAGAGGAAAGGAGGATGCCGAAATAAGATATAAGAAAAGGGAAAGTTTGGTGAGAAAGGTGATGAAATTTTTTGTTTTGTTTTGATGTCTCCCAGCTGGCCTTCTCCCCTTCAGTATCTTCCCCTTCCATCGCATCCAGTCATCTTGTGTGATGCTGCCAGATTAACTCCGTGGGACACACTTCTGATCTCAGTTTATAGAAGTTTAATGACAGGCCTTGTTATGGAATAAATCTGAATCCCTCACCCTTTTATTTAAAACTTACAACGAACTGGTCCCATCTCTGTCTTAAATCTTGGTTTTTAGTACTCCCCTTTACGTCTTTCTGTCCAAAATTGTATACTCCACACTCCTGAAGCTTTCCCACAATGAGTCCTTTGTCTTGGGCTCCCTCCCTCTTTCCTGTCTGCTTACATACTTAAACCCTCTCCTCCTCCAGGTGCTTACTCAGATGTGAACCCTCCTACGTAACTTCACTTGTTTCCACTGAGAGTAATTCCTCTTTTCTCTGAATCCTCAATATGATTCAATTCACAGTGTAATAGCATTCGTCACCTCCCCCACATGGTAGAACTATTTAGAGAAGCAAGACATGAACTCTGGAACTCAGCTGCCTGGATTCAGATCTCACCCTGACATTTCCTGGCTGTGTGATGCTGAGCACATCTCCTGAATTCTCTGTGCGTCAGTCCTCCTTTGTAAAATAAACATTCCTACTGTATAAGTATTGTGGGGATTAAAGAAGTAAATACTGTAAAAAAAAAAAAAAAGCTTAATTTTGTGTCTAATAATAGTGCTGTATAAATATTTGGTATGATCATGCCAATATTTTTATCATGTACACAGAGCATCCACTCTTCTAAACTGTAACTCGAGGACCTAATCCACATCTGATTAATTACAATGGCTTCTAAATCGCAGACTAAATAGTGAATGAATGAATTAGAATCGCAGTGATTGCCAGTGATTGCTGTAGTCCCAGCTACTCGGGAGGCTGAGGCGGGAGGATTGCTTGAGCCCAGGAGTTCTGGGCTGTAGTGCGCTATGCTGATCGTGTGTCCGCACTAAGTTCGGCCATCAACATGGTGACCTCCTGGGAGCGGGAGACCACCAGGTTGCCTAAGGAAGGGTGAACGGGCCCAGGTCAGAAACAGAGTGGAAACTGAGCAGGTCAGAATCACAATGATTAGTGAATCCTAATTGGAATTTTCACATAGTTTATTTTGAAGATAACATTTTCCTTGTTAAATTAGCTAAATTAGATCATTGACCAAATGTTTAATATATTTAAATTTTCTCTGTGCCCAGCACACAGAATATATGGAGAAGCATGCCCTCTTTGGTTTTACGTTGATTCAGGGGAGTACCCATGCAGTTAACTACGGTATAATGTAAAGTAAAAAAAAGTGTATGGTGGAAAGTGACTATAGGAATTCAAAGGGAGTAGCTGGAACAATCAGAAAAGAATTCACATCAGTGAGAATGATAACTTTTAGAACAAAGTACACATAACTCAGCTCTCCTAATATATTAGCCAAAATTCATTGAATGCCCAATGTACCAGGTGCTACGTTTATCACATTCAAACTTCAAAACAGACCTATCTGGAAGTGTTAGTGCTGTGTTCATTGTAAAAATGGGAGAACTGAGGCAGAGCAAGGCAACGTCAAGTAATTTGTCAAAGGCACCCTAGTAAAGAACAGAGCCAGGTTTGGAACCCAGGGAGACTGGATGCAGAGCCTGGATTCTCCCATCACCACAGTCCAAAATTAGGAGTTCTACTTCACTATTTGCTGAACTGTTTCTAATAGTGTATTTTATTAAGTTCACTGGAATTTCTCTTTCTTTTTCTTTTTTTTTTTGAAGATTTTATTTATTTATTTGACAGACAGAGATCACAAGTAGGCAAAGAGAGAGGAGGAGGAAGCAGGCTCCCCGCTGAGCAGAGAGCCTGATATAGGGCTCGATCCCAGGACCCAGGGATCATGACCCGAGCCAAAAGCAGAGGCTTTAACCCACTGAGCCACCCAGGCGCCCCTGGAATTTCGTTTTCTATTATGTTTCAGCTTATACCTCACCTACTGATCTTGAAAAAAATTGACTATTATTTTTTCCTTATTTCTCACTTACTCAGTCTTTCATTTACAGTAATGAGCCCTCAGATTCTTCATCTGTGAAATAGAAGTTTGAAGCTATGACAGTAGTTCCTGAACAATCCAAGAGCAATTCTTCCCTCCAGACACGCAGATTTCTGTATTACGTTCCTCACCTTTGCTTATTCATGCCCCTAATCAGTGTTTGGTGTGCCGCGGGAAACTTTATAATAAGTCACAGGGTTTTGTAGATTCCAGGAATCCACTGTCCTGGACTAACCTCTAAATAATCTCTAAAGCCATTTCTAATGGAAATATTTGAGATTTTGCATATTTTAGACTTTAGGTCCCTTTCTCACTAGTTTCTATTTTATCATTTATCTCTGCCATAAGATGGAGCACATACCCCCTAGCTCTTAATCTACCAAGTTTTCCTCATTTGTTTTTTTTCCCTAAATTTTCCCATCTTCCTTCAGCTCAGATTCCTTACTAAACAATACAGCTTGTTTTGCAGAATTTGTAATTACTGCCAGACCCTTGTGTAAAGAACTATTTCTAAAATTTATGAGCTAAAACCTAGAATACACATTTACAGAGTTTGAACTTGTTTTGTGAAAATAGCAAATAAAGGAAATGTTTTTATATCATTTTTTGGATGACTCCAAGCACTTTTCCTGGCAAACTGAATTTTAAAATCCCATCTTGTTCTGCATCTTCAGCATAGACCTACTGAATTAAAAAATTAAGGACAGATACTACCTAGACACAAAGCAACATGATCTCCTGGCCACACCTATTTTTACCTTCCTCTGGCTAATACCAGCCTTTTTCCCACTCCTTGAGAATTTAATTCTAATGGTATTGGAAGTACCTAGTTTAATATCTTTCTACGGTAGGCCGATTTGAGAAATACCATCAGAGAGCTGCCGGTGACGTTATTCCTGGCACTGTTGGAGACTGGGGCTCCATTTGTAAGTTACCATCAAGAAGATGTCAGCACCCATCCCATGTCACCCAGCTGTGCTTTATGTTTCCCAAATTTTATCTTTGTGAGTGCATATGTTTTTCTGTTATGCTGACCTTGTTTTCAGCAAAATCAGTCCAGGCCTGCCACTCCAGCATAAAAGCATAAGTCTACATTCTTCAACATTTATTCTTTAGGTTTCTTAAGCAGGGCCAAACCAATTCCCATTCTATGAGGGCTTGTTCAAAACCACCGGTAGCATCTGAAGGGTAATGCATACAGTGCCTTGCCCATGCCTTTAGACCGGCCCCACCCCCCGCCCAGAACTGACCACTTGTTGCTTTGCGTCCCACTGAACCTGCCAGGTGTTCCTCACAGTACCTGTGCTACTTTAATGCACATTTACAGGTCTTGCTTCTCTTTCTTAGTGGCCTTTGTATCTAAAGCATCTAGTATAGTATCTGGCTCATGGTAAATGTTTATTTAACATTTGCTCAGTGAGAACTCTGGAGTGAGAAGAGAAGAGTTAGTGAGGGGCTTGAGACAGGTACTGAGGGTGAACTGACTGGGGAGTAGGTTACGGGACAACCCTCTCAGGGCTGGTTCCGACAGGGGAGACTAATGCTGGAAGTAGGGAGGTGGAGTATGACAATGGACGACAGCCTGGCTGGCCCATGTGGGGAAATAAAGAGAGTTAAGTTTGTGCCAAAGGCTGAGAGACAATTGATAGAAACTCCTGAAAGCCAGAATTAAAAAACTTAGTTTTGATTTGAAAGCAATAGGGAGACTGTAGTCTTTTGATTTGGACAATGAATAATCAAAACAATATTTTAAAGTTTTATTGAAAAGGATGTGTGCTTATGTCAAAATTCATATGTGAAATATTGATTTTAGTCTGTGGGTCATCAGTTGATCTTGAAGGACTCTTTCTTTCTGTTCTCATCCCACAGGTTGTTATTTTGTACTTTGAGCCAAGCACATTTCGCTGTATTCTCCTCAGATGGGTCCGTCTTCTCGGTTTTGCTACTGTTTATGGAACTGTCACCCTCAAGCTTCACAGGTATATTGTATTCCACTAGTTTTCATTCCCACGGGGAGAACAAAGTGTTTGGCTTAGCATGTAATTGCAAGCTGGGTCAACCACTTAAATGGTTTCATTTAGACAACAAGACGATACATGCTTTTTTCATTTTCAAGGCACTATCATTAGGATTCTCTAGGAAAATCTTTCAGACAACTGAATTTGAACAACAGATTTCAATAAAATTGTGCCATTGGGTATGGAAAATTTCATTCTGAATAAAAAATAATTTAGAATGAAGGCAAGAGAGTATTTACTAGCTAAGAACGGTAAAGAATACAAAGACAATACAGCTAAAAATCCAGGTCGAGGGCTCCCAAAGAATCCTTATATAGTAGAATTCACCAGTCTGCTGACTTGACAGAGACTGCTGTTATTCATTTGTAAATTACATGCTCCAGAGTAATCCTGCTGATATTAAATGGGTGAAGTTAAAAAAATAGTGTTCTCGATTTCCTCCTTAACCAGTGTGCTCTAGTGATTATCAAGCTTGTAAATTAGGCAATGGGGTAAATCTTCTTATACATTCAAAACCACATACCTTTCCTAATGTATATGATGAGTATGAAGAAGAAAGAGGCATATAGTACATTACCTATCCACAAAGGGCTTTCCCTTGCCTCCTCTTTCCAAGATCTCTCAATGCAGTGGTGCCAAAGACCACGGGAGAGAGAATGTAATTTCTCCCTCAAGATAAAACATCAACTCTATAGAGGAAACCCTTTATGCTGATTAGCTTTACAGTTGTTTTTATAACTGTAGTAAGAAAATATATGGCATATAATATAACATAATGGCATAGTAAACCATTCATATTTCCATCCTAATGTGATCGTGTTTCTCAATAAAAGTATTTTAATATGGCTTAGACAACAGTTTATCTTAGAATCATAATACGTATTATATTTGTCTTTAAATATCCCCCTTTCAATCTTTCTTTAAATGTGATCATTTTACTATCTACTACACAAGAATCTTAATTTCTTTTTTGGGTTTTTGTTTGGTTTTGTTTGTTTTGTTGCATTGGTACTTACTTACTGGGAATGCTCCAGAGTATCTTGTTGGAATAAACATAAATATCCTTAACTCTCAAGATTCTTTTCTTATGTATGTCCCATAGTACAAAGAACATTGGACTGGATGTCAGGAGATCCAGCTTAAATCTCATTTCAGCCTCTAACTCTAGGAAATCATGGGCTTCTATTTCCTATAAAAGAAAAAGATTAGACCAATCTCTGGTGTTCTTTCTGACATTCATTTTATTCTTTCCACATCACGGAACACTTTGCTATTATGTCCTTGTAGTCTTCAAGTATCTTCCGGTTTCCATTCATTATATGATAGCTATTTTTAACTGATGCTCACCAAAGGAAATGAGTAATCATTGGCAACCTGTAATAGACAATAAGCCTTCTAGAAATCCTGAGAGAATGGGTGACCTCCTGAGATTTAAAAATGATCCTTCTCCCTATGAGTCTAGCACTTAGCATCTCTTGGGTCCTCTATTATATAGTACAGTTTGTTTATTTAATTATCTTCTTCATTTTTACCTAATTTACTTTCTCTTTGAAGTGAGGGTCTTACCATTGAATCCCCAGATCTTAGCACAATGACTGATACATGGGAGATATTTAGTACTTATGAGTTGATGACTGAATGAATAAAAATGTCAGATGCGGACTTAGAAGCTGCTTCCAACAGTTCTGTCCACACGTAATGCATTCACAGCCCCCTGACTCACTGGATGTCCCCATGTGTCTAGAACATGTAACTCTGTGGTCTGCAACAGGCTATTTGGTGGGATACAAACATAATATTAAATAGCACTGAATCATGTAATGAGAAAATTACTTCCATTCAGATGCTCTTTCCATCTTTCTGATTATTTCCAATAAAAAAAATTAGTGGGGGCACTGGTAGGTCTCTAACACCCGCCAAATACTTGCTAATCTCCCTTTTCAACAAAGAGCAGATCAAGCTTCAGGCTCAGAGCTTTCCATTCCAATGCTCCCTTGATATAATTTACTGACCATCTCACTGTATTTCTGTAGTTACTTTCCATTTCTGCATTATCAGTTTTTCATGTAAAGTAGCAATATAAAGTTTCCTTTAAGATATTTTCAGTAGAAATTGGTTTAGAGAATATGTAGCTGGTACGCAGACTTAGGCAGAAATCAAGACTGTGGTATGCAAATGATTAGAATTTGAGAAACTAGATTAGTCCATCATTCTTTTGTTTATTTCAAAGACTGGTCAAGCTATTTTCTATTTGTCTTTAGAAATCATTGTAGCGAAGAGTTACCACTGAAGGTTTAAATCAAGTAGAAACTGTTTCTAACTTAATGAGCTGGATTATTCTTAACCTGTCTGAACCGTATGCTTTATATTATATTCTGGGTTTTTCATATCGCTTAAATTTTACCAATTCCAACATTGTTTAAGTCTGTAAAACTGAACAATTAACATCCCAGAAGAATGTGAATAACCCAATGGAAGACTGGCTGAACCAGTTTCATATTTCCCATTCTTAGTTGTACACCGTGCCTATATTTATATATTTAGGTATTTGTTAAGTGAATGAGTGGGTGGATGGTTATAGTGAAGGCAGCTGCCGTGGGTGTCTTTGCTTGGTATCTTAGATTCAAGCAACATGTGGACTTCTAAGATTTGGTAGTAACATGAGAAAGAGGAAAGACCTAAAAGGGCACTGGGGTGGCTCAGTCGGTTAAGTGTCTGCCTTCTGCTCAGGTCATGATCTCAGGGTCCTGGGATCAAGCCCTGTGCTGGGCTGCTTGCTCAGTGTGCCTTTCCTTCCCCCTCTCTCTTTGCTGCCCCTCCCACTGAGCTTGCATGTTCTTGCTTACTGTCTCTCTCTCTCTCAAATAAGTAAATTAAAAAAAAAAAAATCTTTAAAAAAATAAAAAAAGAGCGAAAGTGTAAATCTTAACAAATCCAAATTCAAATTTCAGTTCTGCCATTAACTATTTATATAACCAAGAAGAAATTATTTTAACATCTGAAAATCAGTTTTCTTGCCTCATCTGTAAAGTTATAAAGGCTAAACTTGACTGGAATGTTTGTAAATATATCAAGAGGGATGGGGCTACTATGGCTGAATTAAGCAGTAAGAAAATTCATTGGAAAAAATATGGAGAAAGGTACGGAACTAGGCTTTAGAGAACCTGACCCAAGATAGATTGAGGGATCAAATAGCATGGTGAATGCCATATATCAATTTCATAGAAACTTCATTTTTTATTTCAAGATTTTTTTTTTTTTTCAAAAAGTAAATCCTGCCTCTCTAGGCAGAAAATTCTGAGGAAATTATCAGTACAGATACATAAAGTGACTGTTAAAGTCCCTTGAGAATAGGACAGGCAAGAAAGACCTAGGGTTTGTTTTATTTCAGTCACTTTCCTCAAGGCTTAGTAAAATTATGGAACACTTCTTTCTCCATCTCCTGGTTTCTCAATGATTGATGGTAGTGTTTACAGAATTCCAGTAGCCCTGAAAACTTGGAGCAAATATGAAAAAGGAACAGGATCTCACACTGTCACAGAAATGATACTATTAGCCTGTGAGGGAACTTCAAGGTTTCATTCACTTTTACCAAATATTCCACTTTTTAATGTAGTGGTCTCTCCCTGTGTTTGAGAATTATACATCAAAGACTACCATGCCCATCCAAAGGAAAATTGCGAAAGAGTGTTTTGTTTTCTCACAGTGCAATATAGGGTAACAATTTGGGAGCAGGGCAAGAGTGGTTTGCCTCTTCATGGAGGAGTCTTTTATCACTGACATTTAGAGTCATTGTTACGAGATGGTGAGAAAAAGCAGACCAACTTTCAGTTGTCTTTATTATTGCCCTAAGTTCTCTACAGGCAAATGTGTCCCTTTGTTAACTACGTCCTAGCGCAAGCCAGTCCCAATGCCCCACCTCCCTGGCAGGCCATTCATGCAGTGCAATTTAATTCAACCTGAAACTGTTTGTTCCTTTTTGGAGAAAGAAGGAAGAATGGTATAGATCTTAATATGGATCAAAGAGAAAATAGAGCTGAAGCAGGAAAAATGAAGGAGGTTCATTTATAAAGAGGAGTTCCCTTCAGTAACCATACACATGTTTGACTTGGGACATGAATGATACAGGACACATCTCAAAGAACATCTAGTTCTTTGTGTGCTTGTGTGGTTCATAGAATACTTGCTAAGTTAGGTTTGTTTGTTTTAAGAAAGTTGTTAAGGCAATATCTCTAGGTTCAGAAAAGCCAAATATATTTTCAGGAGGCAAAATGAGGAAATGTTTTAAATGAAAGGGGGTGGAGAGAAATTAAGAAACTTAATGCTAAAAGAACATTTTCCTATTCCCTATAATATGGTTTCTGAAAACAAATTGTCTTTTGCCTTTTTCCAAGGCTAATCAAGAAAAAAAAAAAAGACTTTTTTGTACCATATTTAAAATGAATATTTAAGCAAGCTGTGAAAAAGCCTTCTTCTGGCTTTGGACTAGGGATTTCCATTTCATACATTATTCAGTACTCCTTGCTCTAGATACAACAAAATACGTAACAGTTTTCTCTGCTGTGCTCATTAGCACCAAATATTTACACTTTGTGGGAAAGTTTTGTGTGTTTTTTTTTTTAATTTTATTTTTTTTGTTGTTTCCTTGTAAATTTTTTTTTTAAAGATTTTATTTATTTATTTGTCAGAGAGAGAGAGGGAGAGAGAGCAAGCACAGGCAGACAGAATGGCAGGCAGAGGCAGAGGGAGAAGCAGGCTCCCTGATGAGCAAGGAGCCCGATGTGGGACTTGATCCCAGGACGCTGGGATCATGACCTGAGCCGAAGGCAGCTGCTTAACCAACTGAGCCACCCAGGCGTCCCTCCTTGTAAATTTTAAAAAGTGACTGGAAGTTACCTATATTTATTTACTTTATGTATTATTTATAAGGTTACATAAAATACAGTAAGGTACCTTAAATT